CTGCCATGTTTCCTATGCTGGAGTGATCCTCTCCCCTGCAGCCATGAAAGCCGATCGCAAGCGCTTGAAGGGGGAGAAGACAGACCTGGTGAGCCAAATGCAGCAGCTGTACGCCACGCTGGAGAGCCGGGAGGAGCAGCTCCGGGACTTCATCCGCAACTATGAGCAGCACAGGAAAGTGAGTGCAGAGCCCAGTGTCGGAATCTTTGGGTATTGGTGATCCTGAGATGGTAGAAAGTCTCTTTCAGCCCCATTGCCAAAGCTGAAGCCATAATTCGTCTGTGCTGTTTTCAAGGTTGTTTATTCTGTTTATCTCTAACATGTTCTGCTGCCCTGCCACAGCTCTGTCCTGCAGGGCAGCGTGTGGGGCTCTGCCCTCAGTGGGATGGTACAAACATTAAATACCACAAACTACCTGTGCTGGATTTACAATAACGTGCCAATATCTGTCACCTACGTTGGACAGTGTGTCCCCAGCCTGAACCAACAGAAAAATGCCAACACCACAGTGAAACATGGAGGGTGTGAAGAAGGAGAAAAAGGACAAGACACACCCAATTTCCTCCATCTTGTCCCCTCTGAACCCCTAATCTAGAATCCTAAAATTTTACTTTTGCACCCGTGTCACACTTAATTATTACTCTTATCAAACACTCAAAGCTTGTAATTCATCCTGTAAGATTGAAAACTCCTCTCCATGGACAGAGATCACAGCCAGTGTCTCTGGGGGCTCTGTCCAGGGGGGTTCCTGACCCCTGCCAGGGTCCCAGACCTGCCAGGGCAGCCAGAGGGAAGCCCTGGATTCCCACAGCCCAGCACAGGGAAGAGTGAGTGCAGAGCCCAGCACAGGGAAAAGTCAGTGCAGAGCCCAGCACCGTGCTCTCGTGGCACAGAGGGCTGGCAGCAGGCTGAGTGTGAAACCTGGTTTGTAATCCAGCAAAATCCCACTAAAGCCCCAGCTGGACTCTTGCTGGGGTTGGGATGGACCGCAGCAGTCTAAGGTTAAATAAATGCTTGAGGAAATAGAGCCAGACTTGGGGAATTTGATGTAATTTTAACCAGGTGCACAGTGAGCATTTCTTAGTGGGCACCGGCTGCATTCCAGATCTCCCCAAAAAGGGTTGATGTTCCTGCCAGCACAGGGCTCTTGTGACACCTAAGGCAATGCTCGTGATTGGGGGTCCCCGAGGGGGCTGTGACAGAGGGGTTTTAGTAGCAGGTGAATTTTCCCTTCCTGATGGCCACCCTGTCCCAGCAGGAGAGCGAGGACGCGGTGAAAGCCCTGGCAAAGGAGAAGGACCTGCTGGAGCGGGAGAAGTGGGAGCTGCGGCGGCAGGCCAAGGAAGCCACGGACCACGCCAGCGCCCTCCGCTCCCAGCTCGACCTGAAGGACAACCGCATGAAGGAGCTGGAGGCTGAGCTGGCCATGGTGAGCTGGATCATTATACAGATCTCAGTGCTTGCTGCAGTGGCTGCACACTGCAATAGTGAGAGGAAAATACTGCATCTCTCGAAAGGAGCTTGATACCCTTGGCATGGGCTTGCCCAGGGGAGGGTGGGTTTGGTGTGCAGTGTGTTGCTGCTTGTTCTGCTGCTCTGGGAGATGTCCACATGGTTTTCCCACTCCATCACCACCACCTCAATGTCCTGTTAGCGTTCAGGAACACACATAATCACAGGATATGATTCTATGCAGGTGCTTTTATTGAAGAGTTCTGGGAATCAGGGGTACAGACCCAAATCTGACTCCGACATGGCTTTCGAGCAAATTTTATATTCTATTGTTATATAACTTACATATTAATTATTAAACTTATATTGTTCTGTTGTATACATTGATCTTATTCAACCATGAGTTTCTCATGATCTTTTTCAAGCCCCTGACTATAGTTTTTCATGATTATTCTTACGACTAAACAGTAATTATATTTAATTACTAAACAATCACATCTAACACTTATATCATTTATCATATACTAGCTACATGGGAGCAGTTCTAGCAAGTACAAGGCCTATACTTTTCCAGGGTATTTTCCCAAGGCCTACTAAGCTTAATTTTCCTTCTAACTCCCCAATAATTGTAAAACCCTTTTGCTGTCACTTCCCCAGGCCAAGCAGTCCCTGGCTACGCTGACCAAGGACGTGCCCAAGCGCCACTCCTTGGCCATGCCGGGCGAGACGGTGCTGAACGGCAACCAGGAGTGGGTGATGCAGGCTGACCTCCCGCTGACCGCCGCCATCCGGCAGAGCCAGCAGACCCTCTACCACTCACACCCCCAGCACTCGGCAGACCGGCAAGGTGGGTGTCAGAATCTGTGCTGCTGAGATGATCCCGAGGTTGTAGAAAGTCTCTGAGCCCCCCTGCCAAAGAAGAAGTCATAAATCATCTTGTGCTGGTTTTATTCTTGCTTATCTCTACCATGTTCTGCTGCCCTGCCGCAGCTCTGTCCTGCAGGGCAGCGTGTGGGGCTCTGCCCTCAGTGGGATGGTACAAACATTAAATACCAGAAACTACCTGTGCTGGATTTACAATAACGTGCCAATATCTGTCACCTATGTTGGACAGTGTGTCCCCAGCCTGAACCAACAGAAAAATGCCAACACCACAGTGAAACATGGAGGGCATGAAGAAGGAGAAAAAGGACAAGGCACACCCAATTTCCTCCATCTTGTCCCCTTTGAACCCCTCATCTAGAAACCTAAAATTTTACTTTTGTACCCATGCCACACTTAATTATTACTTATATCAAACACTCTTAGAGTGTGTAATTCATCCTGTAAGATTGAAAACTCTTTTCCATGGACAGAGATCACAGCCAGTGTCTCTGGGGGCTCTGTCCAGGGGGGTTCCTGACCCCTGCCAGGGTCCCAGACCTTCCAGGGCAGCCAGAGGGAAGCCCTGGACTCCCACAGGTGGGCACCCCACGGATGGCAAGTTCTCAGGGCCAAACCCCTTCTGGGGAGGAAGGAAGATGGTCAAAACCACTCCTCCCCAGATATGTTTCTGGAAGTGCATCAGGGGCTTTGCTGGTGTTAATTCCCCGTTTCCCCCTGCCTTGCAGCGGTCAGAGTGAGCCCCTGTCATTCCCGGCAGCCGTCCATCATCTCCGACGCCTCCGCGGCCGAAGGCGACCGCTCGTCCACCCCGAGTGACATCAACTCGCCCCGGCATCGAACGCACTCGCTCTGCAACGTAAGGGCCTGCCTGGAGGGGCTCTGAGCCCTGCCTCGGGGAGATGGGCTCTGGGCATTCTGTGGGGCCCCCACTTCCCCCAAAACATCATTGGGTTTGGAGTGGGGAGCACAATGGGGCTTTCCCCCAAAACATCATTGGGTTTGGAGTGGGGAGCACGACAGGGCTTGGCTGACCTGGAAAGCTGCTGCCCTGGGGTTTGTCTCAGCCCCTTTGCAGCTCAGCTGCACAAACGCTGCATTTTGCCCTGGGCATGGAGGGTCTTGGGCTCTATCAGGGTTGATTCAGTGGATCCATCTCCTTGTGCCACAGGGGGACAGTCCTGGACCGGTACAGAAGAACTTGCACAATCCAATCGTACAGGTAGGGCACAAATCCTGTCAAATCCCTTCCTGTGCTAGAAATTAATTGGGGGTGGTGAGTCAGAGGCATGATGACTTGGGATGAATGGAAGTCATCCTGAATTGTAAGTCTGGGATCTCTCCTATTCCCATAATTTGCTTCTCAGTCGAGGCAATGCCATAGGCATTCACTGAGTTCAGGCCTGTTGCAGTGTTGATTTTTATAAGGTCCAGCCAAAGCATGTTATTCTTCTGTATTTGGCCCTAAAACATTGGGATATTTTTGCAATCCAGACAGATGCTCTGACTATTTATTCCCAGAGCTGGAATCCTGATCCACTTGAATTAAAGAGGCCAAAATCCTAGAGCTGTGGAGAGGGGCCCAATGTCACTGCAAATTCCACCACACAGGTTTCAGGAATATTATTGTATTTTAGTCCAGAATCTTAACAGTACTTTGAACGTGGATGAAAATACCTTGTGGGATCTGGATGCAAATATATTTTGGGACTGGGACCACATGGTCGATCATCCTTGATGTGGGTGAAGGGGGAAAATGGAAAAGGAAAAGCTGATGCCCAAACTTGTGTATTCTCCTCCCACAGTCTCTAGAAGACCTGGAAGACCAAAAACGGAAAAAGAAGAAAGAGAAGATGGGCTTTGGCTCCATCTCCAGGGTGTTTGCCCGGGGGAAGCAGCGCAAGTCCCTCGACCCCGGTCTCTTCGACGGGACGGCCCCCGACTACTACATCGAGGAGGACGCGGACTGGTGACGGCGCCAGAGCCTCTCCCGGCCCTGCACATGTACATATCCCACACCCCGGCCCACCTGTGGACATCTTGTCTTGGGAGCGATGCAGCTGTGTCGTAACTTCAGTTTTTTCCCCTTTTTTCCATGTTTTTTTTGTTTTGTTTTGTTTTTTTTTCCCCATCCTGGTAACTTTGTTGTCGCTTCAGTTTGTCCGTTTGGGTTGGGTTTTTTTTCTTGTTTTGTGAGGGTTTGTTTTTTTTTTTTTTTGTTCATTTTTCTCGTTCTTTTGACAAAACTTGAAACTTGAAGGACTGCTGTGTCTCTGTAAATACGAGAAATATTGTGCACTTTGTGCTTGTGATGTCTCTTGTCCGAAACCGCTGTTTTCCGGAGCCCAGCCTGCGGGATGTCCTCGCTTGGGGACAAAGGACCTGCCCAGCTGAGGGATCTGAGAGAGAAAACACACAAAAACAACAACAACAACAAGAAAATCTCCTTCGCTGTGATGTCTTCCTGGCCGAGCCCCGCGGAGGCGACCCGGGCTGGTTGTTACGCCTGCCGGTCTGGAAATAAGTGTTTTAACGTTCCTTTTTAGTTGTTTTAATTTATTTGCACAAACCCAGAGGAGCTATTCTAACTAAATTATTGCAGAAGTTTTGGGATTTTTATATTTTTCCACGTCGGTTGGGATGGGGCGGGGAGGAGGAAGGGGGTGTTTGTACTGTACTGTCCTGGGATGTTGCTGTTGGGGGAGATTGGGGCTGTGGACCCCCCAGCCCGGGCTCCCTCAGCTGCCCCAGGAGCACTTAACGCCTTGGAAAACGCAAACCTAAACACATGCCGGGAAATCGGATGGGGGCAAGCTGGTGGGAGCTTTGCCCTCTGTTTTTTCCCTGCTTTTGGGGGGTGCTCGCCCTTTGCTTCAAGTAAAATGTAGGGGGATCTGGCACGAGCTGGGAGCAAGGTGATATCCCGAGATATCCCATATCCCAGGATGCTGCCCTGATAGGGCCGGCCACCCCGCTCAGTTTGGGGTGTTCCTGCCCTCGGAGGGGGCTGGGGAAATCGGTACGAGTCCCCACTAGGGAGGTTTTTCTGCCTCTGGGGTGATTTGGAAGCACAGGTGGAGCTTGTTTTTCCAAATTCCTTGGAAATGCCCCCAAACCACCCCCCCGGTGCGGCAGCCGCTTCCCCTCTCCACTAACACGTGCCGCGCTCTGCTTATGCCAAGATAAGTACCTTATGCTTTAACGCTTACAGTATAATTTTAAGCTCTTAAAAAAAATGTATTAAGATTTATTTAATGAACTATAATAGTGTATTATTTTTCTTAATTCTGATACATGCGCCCTGGTTGAAACAAAAGAAAAAAAGGGTATTTTGTCTTAAATCACCGAACTGAAGCGATGCCCTCGCGCTGTGTATTCCATTCCAAGGGATGATGCAGAGAGGCCATGGAGGGGGTGACAGAGGGACCAGCCCCCCAGGCTCTCCTGGGGTGGCAGGGCAGGCTTTGCCCCATGGCATCTTTTCTCTGCAGAGAAGCATTTTTTTATATTTTGTTGTTTTTTTCGATTCTGTTTTGGTTTTTTTTTTCTTTGTTCTCCTTGCGTTTTTTATAATTTAAACTCTAAACTACCAGAACAGATGAGCGATTTCCTTGTTATCGAGTAGTTTCCTTTGCATTTCAGCTTTTTTGTAAATTAGGAAGTAATTCTAAAAATTACTAAGAGGATGATTTATTTAAAAGAGAACTTTGCTAAATAGCATATGAATTATGGGTAACATTAGATTTAACTTTTCCCCCTGTGAGCGGGGGAGAATCCTTGAAGGCATGGATGCAAATATAAAATTATAAAAGATCTAAATAAAGCTTATTTTAAAGTATGGATGAACTCCATGTGGTTTAATTGGAGAGCCTGGATGGGTGTTGGCATCTCTGTTGTGACAACAGGGTGCAGGACACCCTGAGTGCCACGTGAATTTGGGGGCTCCAGGGTGATGGGAGGGTTCAGGAGAAGGCTGAGCCAGCTTTTCCCAGGACCAGCTCCCAGCCAAATGCCTGCTCCTGGATGCAGTAATGCTGGCAGGGGGCTGGGACTGTCTGCATCCATGTGAAATGAGGATTTCCAGGGTTTAAGGTAAGTAAGGAGAGCCAGGAGATGTCCTGCTTGGATATGGAAAATGTAAGGAGAAGGAACAGCAGAAAATGGAGAAATCAGAAAGTGTTGTGCTCTGACTGGGTAAATTATTGTTATCAATGTAGAGGTTGATAAGTTATTATTGTTACTATCATTCAGATGACACTGGTCACCTGTAAGGCTGTGCCAGCACTTCCAGTGGGGATTTTGATGCCATTTTGGGGTCAATGGCTGCTTTCAGGCTGGAGCAAAGGCAACCTGCAATGAGTTTCAAGCCCATAATAGGGTACAGATAAAGAGATACACCTTTTCTTCTTTTTTTTATGTGACAGAAACAGCCTCCTGGGTTTGGGAGCAGCTGCAGAGCAGGTAAGAGCCACCATCATCTGAAATGGGAAGAGCTGGAACAAAAAAAACAGGAAAAACTCAGGAGAAGCCAGCTGGCTCTCCAACTCCATCACCTGCAGCTGGAATCCAGCATTAATGGGAGCTACAGGTGGCATTGAAGGGCAGCTGCTGGGCACAGCCCATGGTGGGATTTGCTGCACTTGGAGCGGTTCCCTGCTGAGATTTGGTGTTGGACTTCGTGCATGGGATGGGGTGTGGGTGCTCATCCATCCCATCTGCGTTTTTAAAGGTTTTGGGAGCCAGGAACGTGTTAGGAGTGCCACACCAGTCCTGGTAAGGCTTCTGTCCTTGTGCTCTGGGACCCGTGGCAGACCCTGTGTAGGTCGTGGGACACCTCCTGCACCCGAGCCAAGCAGAGGGGCCACACTCCCTGTGACTGTGATGTCCTGGGCTGAGGAGGGGCTTGTTGGTGGCTTTGTCCTCCCAACCTGCTCTTCCCAGGCAGTGGAGGCTGCAGGAGCCTCATCCCTGCTGCATCCACATCATCCTCATCCCAAATCATCCCCATCCCTGCTGCACCCACATCATCCCCATCCCTGCTGCATCCACATCATCCTCATCCCAAATCATCCTCATCCCTGCTGCATCCACATCATCCCCATCCCTGCTGAATCCACATCATCATCCTCATCCCTGCTGCATCCCCATCATCCTCATCCCTGCTGAATCCCCATCCCTGCTGCATCCCCATCATCCCCATCCCCGCTGCATCCCCGCCGTGCTGCTTGTGCAGTCCGTGCTGCGCTGCTGCCACCCTGTGAGCAGTTCCCGAGTTCCTGTGCCCCGGAGGAACTAAAAAAAGCTGTGTTTGTTTTAGGTGCGACCGTCGGTGCACTTTGCACCGCGCTCGCTGTTGTGCAGACGCTCACAAGAGCTTTTTCTCTGGCGAGGACTTTAGACCGAGAAAGGCAAACATCCCAACAGGACGTGGGGGTGTGGGGTGCTGTGTGGGGTGGCCGGGGTGCCCCACAGAGGGTTCTGTCCCTGCACCTCCGGGTGTGTGAGGCAGTGCTGGCATCATCTCTGTGACATTCCAACAGAAACTGGGGTTACCTGCCGTGCCACAGCCTTGCACTGGCAACCTGCGGGTCAGGAATGGGCTTCAGAGGTCACAGCAGGGAAACACAGGGGTGAGTCTGGGACATTTCCTGCCTCTGCACTGACTCACCCCACAGCTTTGGCTGCTGATCTCCCCGGGCTGGATTTTTGGTGATAAAGAGCTAAACTGATGTACCCCAAAGAGCCGAATAAATCATCAGGAGGTTGGTGAGGTTTGGCACGGGGTGGGTCACAGAGTGTGGGCGACGGTGATCTCCCCAAAAGCTGGTGTCAAGGGCTGCTGGTTTATTGCTCAGTACTGCTGAAAATTTGGGAATGTGCCTGTTATTAATTCACCTATTTTCAGTGCTTTCCCTTGGAGGAGTTTTCCACTTTGTTTTGTATGTACAAAGCCAGCACTGATAGTATCCTTGAGCCGTCCCCTGTGCAGCCCAGGGGATGCAGCAGTGCCTGACGTGTCCCTCACTGCAGACATCCTTTGGGACATCCTGCTCTGCCACTCTCCCTGCGGCTGTCCCCACTTCAGCCCCAGCCTGACACAGCCACGGGGACCAGCAGGGCACGAGTGGCTCCACTCCATCCAACTGGGACACTGGAGCTGTGACAGGGCCTCATATCCAGGTAAGAAGGTTTCCCTGGAGTTTTATCACTGCTAGTGATTGATCTCCCAGCATTTTCCTGCTCTTGGACAACAGCCCTCATTCACCAGCTGCTCCTAATTTTGAAGGGCTACATAAATCTCTGCTCAACTCTTATAAATAACCATCTGCACAGCACCACCGTAGCCCTGGGTCTCCCATTCCCAAATCCTGCCCAAGCCAGGGCTTCACTGATGGGATGCAGCAGCTCCAGGAGGAAGCAGCAGGTTATTTACTGTCATTCCTGTGAGCACAGTGCCTTTATTTACAGTGTTTTCCAGCTGCAGGCGTGCGTGTGCTGGAAGCAGCAGAGGTGACCTGGCCCGGTGGTTGGACCGGTTGGACCGGCCCCGCCGGGTCCCGGGGCACCACCGGATCCTCACCCCGCCGGGAGATGCCGGCAGGTCGCACCCTCCCACCGGGAGCGTGTGGAAATGCCTCCCGAGTGGCTTCTCCTCTTTGTTCCCACTTGCATGGCAAGTTCCCAGCTATACATTATATTCACATACGGATGTATATTATATTTCTGGTGTTTATTAGCTGTTAACTCCATTAATCATCAAATCACAGAATAGTTTGGATAGGAAGAGACCTTAGAGACCATCTCATCCCACCCCCTGCCATGGGCAGGGGACACCTTCCACTGTCCCAGTTTGTTCTGAACTCCATCCAGCCTGGCCTTGAACACTTCTAGGGATGGGGCAGTCAAAGCTTCTCCTCTGTGCCAGGGCCTTCCCACCCTCACAGGCAGGAATTTCTTCCTCATATCTAATCTAGATCTGCCCTCTGCCAGTTTGATCCCATTTCACCTTGTCCTATCACTCCATGGCTTTACAATCATCATTACAGTAATTATTACCATAATTACAGTATAATATAAATGTGCAGTCTGGTGGCTCTACTGACCTGGCTCCCAGGGATGGGCTTTATCTCTTTCAGAACAAGCCATCCAGCTGTGGCTATCCAGTTGGAGCAGTGATTTTGCCTCACTGTTGGGAAGTTTTGGAGGAATCCAGGAACATGTCCAGCCTTCCACTGGACATGCTGAGCACCTTTGAGCAGGAAAAAGCAGGGAAAAGTGCCAGTGAGCAATTTCTAAGGCAGGATAATGTGAGCCCCTGGCACCTCTGCACGTAGCAGGGCATCAGATGCTCCTCTGAAAGGCCCTTTTTGTTACCTGCTGGTGGCTCTGGTGGAGCTCCAGTTTCCTCCTTGGTATTCCTGTGCTCTGTGCCCTGCATACCTGGCTGGATAATCACCCTGGAGAAGTCCCAGCCTGGGACTGGGCAGGGAGTGTTTGCAGGGGAAAGATTTGATTTGCCAGAGATAAATCCCCACACTGGGATGGCTGCAGAGCTGGAAAGGGAAATGAGCCCAAGGGATGGATGTGAATACATTATCCCACAGAGAATGTGTGTCAGGGAGAGGCAGGTGCTTTAGCAGCCATCCAAGGGGTGAAGAAAAGCCCCCCTTCCTTGATCCTGCTCCACTGCCGCTGAAAAGCTCATTCCTGGCCAATATTCAGCTTTGTGGAGTGGCAACCCGAGGAACCACGTTATGAATGTCCCCTCTGTGCTCCGGGGCCTCTGCAGGGGGGTGACCTGGCTCGGGCACGGAGCTCTCCCTGCGCCGGATTGGTGACAGTGGCTGTGTGAAGTCTGTGTTCCCCCCGCTTTCTTACAGAGAAAACAATTCCCTGTTGTGTCTCCTGACTGCCAGAGCTGCTTGGGATGTCAGGTTTGTGTTTGACTCAGGAAGGTGCAGAAGGAGAGGGGAAAATCCACCTGAAGTGGGGTGAATTTGCTTGAGCTGGTGGCCAAGCTGAAAAATGCAAAACGATCCATCCAAGGGGACAAAAAAATGCAGTTATGTTTAATAATTGTTTCTTTTTATAGCACAGCTCCTGGAAACTGCCCTTTGATTAGAGAGGGGAGATATCAGGGGCAGGTGAGTCAGTGGAAAATACCATCAGCTCCGTGTGGGGTTGTGCTGGCAGGGAGAGATGCAGGGAAGCAGCGGGAGTTTCCCAAGCATCCTGAACACCAGTGGCCCCAAGGCAGGGCTGTGGAGCTGAGTCACGCCCGGTGATGTGACAAGTTTCATTTGGTTCACGATGGCTTTTGCCTCCACAAGGTCTCACAGGGCTTAAGGGACAGGAAAAACTGCAGTGGCTGGTCCAGCAGCATAGTGACGTAGTTTTTTGCTTAGATCACAAAAAAAACCCCACTCTGAGTATCATTTCTAACAGGATTTGAGTCCTTGGTGGTGTTTATTATTACAGCTGGGTGTGAGAAGAGCCTGGAAAAACACATCCTCATTGCTGCTGGGATGGCAGCCAAGGAGAGGCGACACTGGACACGGCGTAGTCGCACTGAGGTTTGCCAGAGCCCAACTCTGCTCCCCGTGGGTCAGTCTGGAAACCATGGGAATGTCTGGCTATGAGGCCAAGGCATGTGGCCATGAGCCATGGGGAGGGCCGTGCCTGAACCAGCTCTTCCCAGCACACAAGTGGTTAACTGGGAGTGTTTATAGAGAGCAGCAGACTGACAAAAAGTGATTTCCAGGCTCCCAGTGAGTGCAGGCTTGGCTCTGCTCTGTTGTCAGTGTCAGCGATGAGCCTGAGCAACTGGAGTTCCTCAAAATGGGGCAAAACAAAGCTTGGAACTCATTGAGTAAAAGCTCTGCTCATTGCTACAAGAGTTTTACAAAGCAGCTCCATTGCAAGATGGGTTTTAAACTGCAAAATTAAAACTTTCATTAGGTGTTGGGAATAGATTTTTTCCATGGGAGGATGGTGAGGCCGTAGCTCAGGTTACCCAGAGAAGCTGTGGCTGTCCCATCCAAGGCCAGGTTGGATGAGGTGTGGAGCAGCCTGGGATAGTGGAAGGTGTCCGTGCCCATGGCAGGCTGGAGCGGGATGGGCTTTGAGGTCCTTTCCAACCCAAACCATTCCGGGACCTTTGAGAGCAGGGCTGTGATGCATCGAGCAGGGGCTCGATGCTGCGATCGGCATCCCCAGCGTGACCCACGCCTGGTTCCGGGGGTCTCCCCGGCGGTTTGCGGGGAGCCTCCCACGGCTGCCGGAGGTCTGAGCTCCGGAGCGGGCCCGGGGCGGGGCGGGAGCGGCGGGGCCGGTCCGGGAGCGCCGCCCCGGAGGGACGGGCCGGAGGGCGGAGCGGCCCCGCCGGACCCGCCGCGGCCGCCGCCGGAGGTACGGGGGGTCGGGGAGCCGGGGGGGACGGGACCCTCTGTTCTGGGACCCTTCGGAGCTCCGGGAACCGGGAGCGGGGCGGGCTGGGCTCAGTGTCGCCGGGAACGGGCCGGGAACGGGGCCGGGAACGGGAACGGGGCCGGGAAGGGGAAGGGGAAGGGGAAGGGGAAGGGGAACGGGAATGGGAAAGGGAAGGGGAACGGGAAGAGGAACGGGACCGGGAACGGGACCGGGAATAGGAAGGGGAATGGGAACGGGAAGGGGACCGGGAACGGGAAGGGGAACGGGAATGGGAACGGGAATGGGAACGGGACTGGGAACGGGACTGGGAACGGGAAGGGGAGCGGGACCGGAGGGGAGTCGGAGCCAGGTCCGGCTCGGGCTGGGCAGGATCACTTCCAAAGCTCGGGGAACACCTGCGAAGTGCGGGGAAGCACCCCGCAAAGCAGGAGCCAACACCCCCAAAGCGGGGACGCGCGTGGGGACATCCCCTTGGGGACATCCCTTGGAGACACCCCTTGGGGACATCCCTTGGGGACATCCCTTGGGGACACCCCTTGGGGTCACCCCTTGGGGTCACCCCTTGCAGACACCCCTTGGGGTCACTCCTTGGGGACACCCCTTAGGGACATCCCTTGGGGTCACCCCTTGGGGACACCCCTTGTGGACACCCCTTGGGGACACCCCTTGGGGACACACTTGGGGACATCCCTTGGGGTCATTCCTTGTGGACACCCCTAGGGGTCACCCCTTGGGGACACCCTTGGGGACACGTGGGCTTGGGGCACCTCATCAGCCCTGGCAGGCGCCGAGCTGGCTGTGCTAGGAGTGGTGGCTGTGTTTTCGGGAACCCTGGGCTGGCACTTTGGGGGAGGACCAGCAGCAGGGAGGGGACCAAGGTGTCCCCCAGGCCGAGCCCAGACATCTCCCAGGAATGTCCCAGAGTGGTTGTCTGCTGATGCTGGTGTTTGATGTTTGGAGGTGGCGTGGAGCAGAGCACAGCTGGGTTTGTTGGGCAGTGTGGGGGTGTGAGCAGAAGCCAGCAGCTCCATGAGCGTGTCCCGTGTGAGATGGGCAGCCCTTGGCTCTGTGTGGTGGATGGAGCCTGGTGAGGTGAAGCTGCACCTGGAGGTGTGGTCCTGCTTTCCAGCCTCTCTGGAGCAGACCTAGGCCACTGCCAGACGGGATGCTGCCACAGCACATCCCTCTACAACAGATCCAAGTGTCCTGCAAGTGTCCACAGCCCTGGCTGTCCTGGCATGAGAGCCAGCAAGGGAAACCTCCCAGGTGTCAGCAAAGAACATGTGGGTGTGGGGCTGGTGAGCCAGCCCTGGACTCGGTGACTCGGAAGTGTGTGAAGCACCTTTGATTTGAGCTGTGTAATTACACGGGTTGGAAAAGCCTGGGGAAGGGAAGTGGCTGGGGAAGGAGGAATGTTTGGCCGTCGGTGCCCTGGAGAGAGCTGAGTGGCGGTGCCTGGCGCCGTGGCGCTGCTGGAGGAGATGCCAGAGGGCCGGGGCTGGGCAGGGCTGTCTGCCTGCTCTCCTGCCTGGAGCCTGCAAGGAGGGATCCTCCAGCAGCCCAGGGATGTGTCTGCCTCCCCGGCTGCTCCATGCTTTTCTCATTCCCAGTGTATTTCACAGGCAGGAACTGATGTCAGGGCGCTGTAGAAGCAGCTAAATATCCAGTGCAGGTGGCTTGGAGCAAGATAATCCCCAGCAAACTCCATCCATACCAAAATACCTGTGCCCAGCCTGCGGAACACGGCTGCCCTGGGCCTGGCTGCTCCATGTCGCTTGGCTGCCCAGCCTGCTCCGAGTCCCGGCCGGCTCTGTGTCCTCCAGCATCACCCTGGGGGCTCCTTGGCCATCAGCAGGAGGTTTTCCTTGTGGTCATACTCCTTGGAGAAGCTGTTGGAAAAGCATAGGGAGAGGTGATGCTGTGTTGGGGAAAAACCCCTTGCTGGAAATCCAGGCAGAGGATGAGGAAGGTAGTGCTGGCGAGGCCGATGGCAGCCAGTGGCAAGTGCCGGGTTAGTGACTTGCAGGAAGGGGAGATAATCATCCAGAGGCTCCAGTGGTGGGACAGGAGGTGCTTAAAGCACTCCAGAGGGACTGGGAGGGAGCAGGAATGCTGGGTTCCGCTTCAGAGGACATCAAAAGGGCAGGTGGATAATGTGTGCCCATGCTGGAAGGCTCTGGATGAGGGTGTGTTTGTCTGGGTGTTATCTGGGGGGAGGTCCCAGAACAAAAACCAGGGGGAGGCTGTGGAGGAATGGCTTTATCTCAGCAGAAACAGCAGATTAGATTTTTTTTTTTTTTAATTGCAAACTCAGAGGTTCAAAGTGGTGTCCAAAGGAAAGCAGGAAGGAGAAAGAGGTGCTGGGATTTTCCCAGGCAGGTGTGCTTTCCCAGGCCTAGGTGCACAAGGATAAAACTCCAAGGAAACTTTCTTCTCCCTGGAGAGAGGTGAGCACCCCTGCTGCCTGGAAAACAGAACAGATCTTCCCAGAGTGAATGTAAAAGCAAACCTCTACTTGAAAGCTTTCAGGTACACAATGTGGCAAAAATCACACATTATATAGTAATTCTACCATTTTTATAAGGTTATTCAATTAGTATACTTATCATATACTCTCCAATTAAAAGCTTAGTTGCTTAGATAATAATTCTGGGGTCCTGCCACACTGAAAGCAGTCCAGAGGCTTTTTTTTTTTGCCCCACTTTTGTTTTGTCTGGTCCAGATTCTGGTTGTAAAACAGGACATCCTTGTAGTTGATTCTCTTCTTGGAACAAGACTAAACAGTATTTTGGGCAAGTGTTTCTAAGGTTAGCTTGTTGTTCCTAAACAGAAAAAAAGATATGAAGAAGAAAGATATGTACAGAAGAAAGATATGAAAAGTACTAGGAGTTATAGCCATGCATGAACAATCTACAAAGCTACAAATATATGAAAAATATTAAAAGCTAAAAACCTTAGGCATCGCCCCCTCCCTGGTTTAGCAGAGCTGGGCCTGGAAGCATTAGCGTGGCAGTCCCAGTGCAAATCCCTGGAGCAGGAAAAGCCCCAGGACAGTGTTTACACAGCAACCAGGACACAGGCAGGGCTCGCCGACCTGCCCAGAGCCGGTGCCAGCGTGGCCTCGGTGGCCAGGGCAGCATTGTCCCCAGGAACAAACAGCAACATCCTGAAACACAAAGCTGAAAGGACTCCCTGGCCCTGTCCATTGCCACTGCAGCAGGCGCCGCTTGGGTGGCTGTGATGGAATTATGGGGAGAAGGAGCCTGGAGGGCAGTTTGTTGTATCTCAGTTCCAAAGGCCAAGGTGATGGCTGCTGTGCAGTCGTGACTACAGCTCTGCAGTTTGGCTCCTCTGGTGAGCTGTGCCACTTCAGAAACGCTTGGCAACTGTGCCCAGAGTTCCCAGGGACACAGCAGAGGCAGATGCATATGGCTTGGGAGGTTGGGAATGGTCAGGCACGGCTCTGTGGAAGTGGGGTGTTCTGTGGGGCCTGTCACTCTCGTTCTGGCCACGGCCAGCCGGGTGGATTGTGGCAATCTGAGCCTGGGCATGGGCTTTGCCCTTGTTTTGCAGGATGGGAGAGCCTTGGGGAAAGTTTGAGGAAAACATCCCTGTTCCCCCAGTGCTGTCTACAAGGTACAACTGAGGAGGGGTAGTTAAAAAACTAAATTTAAGAAAGAGGGTAAAATACCTCTTAAATGTCTGTAGGGAATGCTGCAGGCAGTGGAGATGTGGATGTGTTCTTTTGTGCTCTAGGCAGGAAGTGTAAGCAAAATGTGGAAAAGCCCTGATAGTCTGCATGGGGCTGTCTCTCCAGATTCCTGCTCCCTGGTGAGATGCTCCAAAATGGGCTGGAATTTGTCCAAAAGATCAGAAATTGGCTAAATCAGCAGCAGTGCTGCTTTTTGTGACTCAGCTGGATTTCTCTGGCTATTCCCTGCATCCCCTGGGCTGCATCTGCCCAGAAACATCCCTGTTCCTGGGGCAGGGGTAACAGGGGCAGCAAGAAGGGACAAAAAGAGAGAAACCATGGCAGGGAGTTGGAATTAGATGGTCTTTGAGACCCCTTCCAAACCCAAACACTCTGAGACTCTGTGAAAATACCTCACAAGTCCTGCCCCTGTTGCTTTTTAGACCCTCACATGGAGTTTTATGTTCCTGGTGGGTTGAACCTTTGTGTAACGAGGGCTCAACATGAGGTTGTGGCCAGTGCAGAAACAAACTCCTGAGGATGTGCCGGGCCAGGAATTAGCAGGGAAGGCGGTTAATGAACAGGTTCTCTGGGTGGAAGCATGAAGATGAAGGGAGAGCCTTGTAATCTACCTCAGAGGAGACTGGAATATTTGGATGGTTGGAGAACAGGTTTATTTTCCCCCAGAATTTTCCAGAAAATGAGTTGTGTGACTGGTGATGGAGTCACACCCTGTATTTTGGAGGCAGAATTTGTCTGTATTTTCTGAGGGGCTGTGTCACTGTGTGGCGTGGTCCTGGGGAGTGAGGAAGCCCTGGAGCACATCCCATGTGTGACTGCATCAGGGTTTGAGCCGTTCCCTGGCCTGCAGACTCACCTCCCATGATCCTGTGACAGAGCTGCTGCTGCTGGGGCGTGAGTGGGAAGGTGATGTCACGGCAGGGAAAAATCCAAAGGTTGTGGAGGGCAGAGGAGCGTGGGTGCTGCGAGGGCAGGGGGGTGTTGGGTTCCTTGTGAGTCAGGACAGCTCCTGGGGGCTCAGGGATGTGGGCACGGTCCGTGTCGGGGCTGTGTCCCATGCAGGGAAGCTGTTCCTGCTGCTGCTCCACCTGCCTGTGCCAAAGCCTTTGGGGCTTAGAATGGGTTTATCCCGAGCCTTCCCATGCCCAATTAACACTGGGAAATGTTGCAAGAGCATCCCGAAGGCTCCGGCAGCCTGCAGGGGTAGGGG